TTCATATCACTATTTTAATTTTAGTCTTTTTTTATAAATTAGATCAAGATAACATTTTGAACGGGTGTACTAAGTAATAGGGTGCACAATAAAAAAATATCAAACAAATATTTTCCAAAATTTAAAATGACCAAAATACCGTTAGAAATGATGGGGATAATTTGATCATTTTAAAATTTGTAAAAATATGTTTTTTATATTTTTATATCGTGCATGATGGTGTCAAGTATATATGCTTAAAATTGTAATATAATCCGATTTGTAGAAAAAAAATATTAAAAATTCCAGTAGTGATTCACTTTCAACCATCCAATCAAGATATAATGGCTAGAAATCAACCTCTATTAATATTCATTATAGGCGCAACTTATTGGTATAATTGTAGCTTTGTCACGTATATATGTATGTGTGTGGATAACACTTATTTTTCAAAATTTGTATGGTATGTTTATCATGATTCATCATCGTCCAAAGTCTATCAGACCACTATTATTATCCAATAATATTTTAAAATTTTAATACTTTTTTACAAATGTGATATATCTAAAATTTAAAGCAAGTGTACACTTAACTAACTCAAACGTAAATAAAATATTAAAAATAATTATAAAAAATAAATGAAAAAAATACCCTTAAAACATTCATAAGGAAATTTGATTATTTCAATTATTTGAACTAATTTTAATATTTTATTCAAGTGCGTATCACTGAGATTCTGCTTTTGGGGGAAAAAAAAATTAAAATTTAAGATCCATCAGATTTGGAAAGAAAGAATTTATTAAATTTTTTTGAGATCAATCAGATTTGAACAGAAAAAATTTATTAAAATTTAAATACTATCAAACAATATAAACAGTTGAGACACGAGCACACACAATAATGTGTAAGACATGCTGCTTTCGGAAAAAACGTCCCTAGAGTGCTCGAAAGAAATATTCGCCCAACACTCCAAGTCAAATGGAAAAATGGCAAATAAAAATTCTATAATTAGAAAATAAAGATATATTTAGCTATTCGCAAGATCCTTTTGGTGTTGGCACTATATTATCGCTTTTAATTTCCTTCCTTTAACTCACAATTTTCCTGCTGCATCTTGACCTACTCAACAGAAGACAAAATAATTACCCAAAAAAAAAAAAAGACAAATAATAAATAAATAACTTTTACAGATCCAAAATAAATAGAAAATAACTTTTCTGTGGCATGTTCCTCTTATTCTACTATTTCTTGCAATCTGTATTATAAAATTCCCAAGCATCCTTTGTCTCCATTAAATATAGTAATGATTAAACTAATTTCTGTTTTGGGGTGCACAGATCGAGGTATTTATCGTTGTAATGAGCAGTAACTCTTCTTGAACAATTCATTTTGTTGCCAGAGTTTTGATTTTTGGAATAATCAAATGAGCTGGGTCATTAGGTTTTGGGGTTTAGATTAGCTTTAGGATTGATCTGATCTGACCATCATAATAGAAAGGTGGTTTCCGGTTTTTAAACAAAGTAAAATTTATCTTATCAAAAACACCAGAGAGATGAACTATTTGTACCATTTTATTTTATTTTTATTTTGTTTTTAATTTCAAAGATCCCATAGAAAGACATATAATCATCATTAGTTAGAAAATTTGATATTTTAAGTGTGGGCTTTTAGAAATCTTTTGATGCTGTTGGTCCACGAGGTAGATGCTTGGTAACAGTTCTAATGAGCAAGGAACAATTAAACTAAAATAAACCTGTTTTATTAGATCATCATGCCCCTTGATTTTCACTTTCAGAAATGTATGCACATTAATGGAAATGTGAAAGTGCTATCACTTAATGCATTTAAATAATGTTTGTGTTTAAGTACCCTTAGAATTGTTATTGTTAACATACAATCCTTCTCCCCACCAAATGGGAACGATAAAATGGGCAACACGTTCCTTTCTTTCTCACAGTCCCTCTCTTTCTGTCTCTGTGCAATAGCAGCACCTCTTGACCCTTTCCATTTTTTGCGAAAAGAAAAAATGGTGCCTTCAACGCTTGTTGCTCCTTCAATTTCACCTAAAATTTCAGATTTTGAAGACTCAACAACCATTTATGAGAAGAAAAACATGACTGGTTCAGGCATGGAAGGGAGAGAGGAGACTCAAACAGAAGATGAGAGTTGCCCTGTTGACAAGAACTCTGAGGATGACCTCTTTGATCCATCATCTCCTCCTCCATTCACTATAGGCGATATAAGAGCAGCCATTCCAACGCACTGTTGGGTCAAGAACCCATGGAGGTCCTTGAGCTATGTCCTCAGAGATTTGATTGCTATATTTTGTTTATTTGCCTTTGCTGTGAAAATAGAGAGTTGGGTTCTTTGGCCTATTTACTGGATGGTTCAGGGAACCATGTTTTGGGCCATCTTTGTGCTGGGCCATGACTGGTGGGCATCCTTCCCTTTGTGCAAAAGTGTTCGCTGCCTCTTATTTTTCTTTTTACTCTTGTTTTAGATCCTTTGTCATTGTATTTCATGTTTCTTTTTCTTGGATTCATAATACAGTGGACATGGAAGCTTCTCAGAGAACCCAAAGCTCAACAGCATTGTTGGCCATTTGGTCCATTCATTCATTCTTGTACCTTACCACGGCTGGTTAGCTCTTCTCTTTGATTTGATATTCATGTTAAATATGAGTGATTCATTACCAATCTTAGAATGCTCTTTACATTTAGTAAAAACGACTGTTTTGTCACTGAAGAACCGATGTTTTTAATCTGTTGTAGGAGGATTAGTCACAGGACCCATCACCAAAACCATGGGAATGTAGATCATGACGAGTCATGGCATCCGGTGCATATCATATATCACATTCTTTCTCAACAGTTACATGAATAATCAGTATCTCCAGTCCCTATCACTAATTCGAGTTTCTTGCTTCTTGTGTAATTGCAGCTAACTGAGCAAACTTACAGGAGCATTGATCCCAACACCCGAAAGCTGAGGTTTACATTGCCATTCCCAATGATGGCTTACCCTGTTTACCTTGTGAGTCAACTGAATTTCGCATAGTCAGCCATTTATATGACCATTTCTGAGATCCTCCTCTGTTTTCGCTTTCTCATGGAAAATTTTCCATTTTTCATCCTCTGTTTTTTCTTCTTTCAGCTATGCAGGAGTCCAGGAAGGAGTGGATCTCATTTCCATCCAGGAAGTGATCTCTTTGCTCCAAAAGAGAGGAAAGCTGTCATAACTTCAACGCTATGTTGCTCTGCTATGGCTGCTCTGTTGGCAAAGCTGGCATGGATTATGGGTCCAACCCAGATTCTTAAGCTTTACTTTGTTCCTTACTTGGTAAGAAGAAAGAATCAAGAAGCACCATAGTTACTTATCCAAATAAATAAAAAACACCATAGCTCTGATTTCTTCCCTAGCTTTCTTTGTGAAGAAAGGCGATGACCATTATTATGTATCTGCAGATATTTGTGATGTGGTTGGACTTTGTGACATACTTGCATCACCATGGTTATGAAAAGAAGCTCCCTTGGTATAGAGGCAAGGTAAAAAAAATACCCTTATTTATGCAGCTTGTGGCTTTCGCATGACATGGGTAGTGAGATAAATCTTTTTTTTTTTTAATCATGTCATGAAAGGAATGGAGCTATCTGAGAGGTGGTCTCACAACGATAGATCGCGATTATGGAATGATTAACAACATACATCACGATATCGGGACCCATGTCATACATCACATGTTTCCACAAATACCCCATTACAATTTGGTCGAAGCGGTGAGTATCATAGTATATATATACATAAATGCATGCATACATATATGGATGTGTTCTTTCTCTGTATTTTGCTTATACTTGCCATTACAGCATCTTTATATATGATATTACAGACCAAAGCAGCAAAGCCAGTGCTAGGTAAATATTACAGAGAACCAGAAAAATGCAAGATGATGTTGCCTCTTCACTTGTTGAAAGTTTTAGAGAGAAGTATGAATGAAGATCACTATGTCAGTGACCATGGTGACATTGTCTACTATCGCACTGACCCTGCTCTGTTCAGCTCAAACTCTAAAATGAGTTCTTAAGTTTGAGGGCTTTTAACCCCTCGATTACATATTTATTACTTTTTTTATATGTAATAAAGCTTTAGGGTATCTGATCCACTCAAAAGTAGAATATATTCAAGTTTCAGAAGTTCCCCCAGGTAATAGGGAATCAAAATTCTGTAAACATAACATTTGATTGAAGAAGATCATGAAGTTCATGATGCACTCGATATTAATCCCTTGCAATAGTATGTAGTTGAATGAAAGTGCGCCCATATTGTTTATATGTTTCCTCTTTCTCAGCTATTTTATGGGTGCTTATTATCTAGAAGCATGAAAACAAGTGTATTTCAAAAGAATTTTAGAAAATATGCCATTTTATGGGATAAGAAACCTAAAAAGGAGATACAAGCTAAAAATGGAAATTCTACTGTTTTCTTTGGTAAGTAAAGTGGTAAGTCAGTGGGGATTCATTCTTTGGCCCTACCCTTTGGTGAGAATTTACTGTGTAAACGATTTGTCATGGGTATATGGTGCATCACAAAGCCACCTTTCATTCCCTATGATGGATGGTCGAGATTGAGTGTCATTCTAATGATGCAAGATGAAGAGCCATTTCTCACTGAATATCCATCATCAAGAACTATAACCTTTGGGTGGATAGAGAAGATTGCCTCTGGTTCCAAGCTATTCACCCGCATACAATTAATCTACAGCATTCATTGCAAAGGTGATGAGATTCTTCGCCTGAGCCTCATAAACGGTGTACTACCCTCGACCTCCCAAAATATTTTCACTACCACCACCATCAACAACAATGATGATAATAATGAAGAACGTTGTACTATACTTTTGCTTTAAGTAGTATGAGTATGAGGCCCCAGCTTTATGCAAGGGCCTTGACTGTAAGGTCCTCAAGAATCTTTTGCTTGCTTAACTATATTGCCCTAATACTAAGGACTCTCTCAAAATCATTTATACAGTTGGCCAAATACAAAGTAAGTGAATAGAACAATAAAATAAGTGCAATAAGTAAATAAAAAATATTAGTACACCATAACACCACAAGATTTGTGTGGTTCACTTAAAAGGGGCTACATTCATGATTGATTAAATCGAAATCTACAATAAATGAAACTTACAATTTTATATCATAGGATATATCTTTTCATCTAAACCCACTCTCCAGATCAAACATCACTGCCCATCAATCTCTTTATTTCCAAGTCTTACACCGCTTTCGGAGAATAAAATCTAGAACACACCATGAAAGACTTGGGAACTAATCAAATTCAAAACCCATGAAAAAACGATCTCTCTCTTGAAGGTCATGTTTCAATATAAAAGAGGTATTTCCTCTCTTTGACGCCCCACCCTTTCTCTATCACTAAAGCCCAAGCATTCCCATAACCCATATTACCATGACCTGAAATGGATGGATATTACCTCATAAAGATGACAAGATTTTCTTTCCTGCTCCACAAAAAGTCCATTTTGTCTTTTACTCAAAGGCCATAATGCCCCACAATTTTACTAGGGAATTATAATAGTGATTTGGCTCTCACAATTTTACTAGGGAATTATAATAGTGATTTGGCTCTCACCAAATGTAACAAAAGCTCTCTCGAAATATATTTTTCAATGGATCGAAGAACCAAAACCAGTATAAAACTAAAAATGTATACAATAAGATCATTTATGTTTTATACAATGAGGTCACAATCAATATTGACCACTAAATTTGATATCGGGTGGTTGATGATGTGTTATTGTTTGGGCACAAAGTCCAAAATAAAATTCTTTATGACTCACCTTCGTCTATGAGATTTTACATCAAATGGCTAAAAGTGACTGTGACCTCCTTGTACTAAAAACCAATGGTCTCATAGTAAACAATCCCTTATAAATCCTTATGAATATCTTTTATTCTAAAAAATGAATTTGGGGTTCTTAAAATAGTGCAAATCTGATTGAGTTTCAAGTCCTCGGACATGAGCAACCTAGATGCATAGGGAAATCGGATTTAATATAGAGCAATCTAAGGGCTCCGAATGTCCCTATTTTTTTATGCCCTTGATCTTTGGGTCTAGAGTATATTTTGTTTTAGGTCCTCAATTGTCCAAATGGACAAATGAGGGGTGCAGCACTTTCACTCACAAGTTACTTCTTTTTGTTTTTCTTTAGGATGATTGTATATTATAAGACTATTCACTTATGATACAAGGAGTGACTCTTAGCCATTGAATAAAAAATCTAAAAGATTTAAATCTATTATAATATTAGAAAAATCCTATTTTGGATTTTGTACTTCATCAATGGTACATCCCCAACCACCCGACTTCATTTAAAATAATCGATAATGATTGTATCCGCCTTAACTCTAACATGCAGCCACATAAAAACTGTGCGACCTCAGACTTAAAGGCATGCAGTAAAACCTCATATAGGTGAATTCGGACTGAAAACCTCTCGATGGCATAACTTTAAATCCAAAGTTTGTTTTTGACAAATTACATAATTTTGGGGGTAAGTAGGAAAGTAGAACACAACCACCAGGGTTTGTCACTAACTAACCTTAACATCTGGAGTTAGAGGTAGGGAATAGTGGTGCCACCATGTTTGTAATGTTAGTTGGGCCCTAATATAATAACAAAACCAAGGGAAAATATAACGGCAATATTACCCCATTGTTTGCGTTATTGTACCTTTTTTAACTTTTTTTGGAACAAAATTCAACTTTTACTTATACTGAGAAAAGATTACAAGAAAGAATTTACATCCTCACAAGTTGCCAACGCAACTTAAGGCCTCTTAGCCAATTGATTAGTGATGCCATTAGATTCCCTATACATATAACAAAAAGAAGTTTGCAAAGACGTCCCAATATCTAGACTCTGCAACAATAAGACCCCAATAGCCAGCGCAACCTTTGTCCCTTATTACATCAATCAAATAGTCTCCCTCCATCACAATAAAGACCCCTAAAACCTTTTTCCTTTGAAGAGCCTCAAACCCTGTAAAAGAGAGAATAATTCAGAGTGATCGGTTGCGGTAATCCCACACGGATCAGCATAATATTGTCATTCCAGTCTCGCCTACTCCCCCTATTCAAGCTAAACCCAGATTACCAAAGGATCTCCTATCAAAATTGAGATTGAAACAACCTAGTGAGGGTAGTTCTCATCTACCTCTTGGTCAACATTTGATAATCCTTAATATCAGTAAGACTCCAACCTTCTCTAGATACCGGCAAGCACCTAAGAGTATATTAAATGTTACACAAAACCCTCACCTCAGGCAAAGATTTACCTTAAAAATTCCTCCTATTTCTCTCTTTCCAGATATCCTATAAAATAGCCTCCCTCAAAATTTTCCAAAACACCCATCCAACTTTTGGTATAACGGCCATGCTTAACTATGTTAAGATATCTAATACATTATATGGCAACATTAAGACAACATCTAACTGTTAGAAACTCCAACTTCGAATTTCAATAACTAAGGGACAATGAAAAAATAAGTGAGGCACCAATTCTCCGTCTGTCTTTCACATGAGGCAACTATTTAGGAGAATCTTACCTCTCTTACTTAGGTTATCAACAGTTGGGATCTTTTCCTGCAAAGCCAACCAAAGATGAAAGATTTGAATTTATGGGGAATTGGCCACTTCCAAATTTAACGAAGCTCACGAGAGGCCATCTCATTCTATCGTGAAACAGCAAAGTAATCCAAGTGTGTAACATTAGTAGTCATAAACATAATAGTTTGATATCTCCAAAGAACATTAGACTATTAGAACTTTCTAAGTTCTTCAACTATGAGGATAGAGTAAATCTGATTGGATGGATGACATGAATTATTGATAGTTGACATAAGGAAATGTCTTCACTCTAGAAGTGGGAGTGATTTCTTAGTGCAATAAGAAAGAGATGTGAGTGGTATTTTCAAAATAAAATCAGAGTATATGGATTGTTGTGCAACATTATAGGAGAGCTTGTGACTCAACCGAATCCTACAGAGCATAGGGGGCATATTGAGTGATAGAGAGCCTATAAGCATGTTTTGTGCACCACGGCAGTACTAGCTTTCCAATGGATCCCAAGTATGATAGTAAGACATAGCAAATAGAGATTTCATATCACTGTGTGCGAAGTGTCATTGAGTGGAAAGTAACATCCATGACATATAATCAAACTAGCATGATGGTAGCATACCCCATAACTAAATTTATAACTTGAGATAAATATAGGGCTCTTGTCAAAGGATTAGGACCTGGGAGTTCCAAATTAGTTTTTTGTAGGATCATCATTGTCTGACATTTTTTTTGGGGATAAATACATTATTTGATTATTTTTTATTTATTTTTTCCATTTATTTGAGGAATTTATGATATTGTGGTTTGTTCGATGCACATACACATGATTTGATTGTAGATTCATTCTAGTGCACTAGTACATCTATTTATTGTGAGATAAGCGGTTGGCAGGCTTAAGTTGTTTTCTCACACAGCAATGACCACCCCAATATTGGGGGCATTGAAGGATGAGATACACACGATATTTGAGTATCACCTCGATAAGAGATCAAAATGATATTCCAGGTTGGGAATCAACACGATATATGGTGTCCCACCAGATCATGTAGCCTGTATGATAATCAGGTGTGAGCAGCGGGAATATTTAGGTTAGTCAATTGGGTGCAACCCCGGGCACATTGGTTGCAATGGGATGCATCGCAATGGCAGAATTAAGACTTGCATAGTGTAAATTCGATGGAGATCCTAGTATTTTATATAATTTACACTTTAGTATGTGACACATACCACACTTACTGAGTGAGACTGTGATTACTTTAGAGAGAGGTATATAACATGATCTATGTTCCCAATTACACCGTATGAGGAATGGCCAGTCACCATGTAACCTTAAGTAACCTTATAAACCCTAAGACTATATTAGGGAGTTCATGATGATGTCACTAGTTTAGCTTGTCATCCCCACAATCATGCATGATTCAGCTAGGCGGGAGTAGAGCTAGAAAGTGGTAAGATTAAAAGTGGAATAATAGTCTGGCCAAGTTAAGCCCACTGGCATTACATTATGGTTGACACATGGATAACTAATTCGAACATGATATTCATTAGCCACATAATAATGTTAAAGAGTTTTACTAAGAATGTTATTTTCTAAAAATATTTTTTAAAAATAATGATAGAATATAATACATTATTTGTAATTGAATTTCATGATTTACTTGAGAACAATGTTTTAATGTATGAGTTGGG